GAGAGAGAGAGAGAGAGAGAAAAGAGAGAGAGAGAAAGAGGAGAGAGAGAGAGAGAGAAAAGAGAGAGAGAGAGAGAGAGCGCGCTTTTTCCTGCCTAATTTTGGTGCGCTGGACTTTCCTGCTATGTTTTGGGTGTGGTACAAACTTGTCTGCTTGGTTTTGGCTGCCTTCATGCCAGGTTTTCAGTGTGGTGACCACTTTCCTGCTGGTTTTGGTGTGCAACTCTTGGGTGTGGTGGCTACTTTCCTGCCTGGCTTTGGTGCGGTGGCTACTTTCCTGCGTGTTTTTTTGGATATGTTGTTGATGGATGGACAAAAAGAGGGGTGTGTTAGCCAGCAGAATGCCAAGCCCGAGCTTCCCCCAAAGGAACTGACGCAAAGGAGGTCTGACAATGCGCAGGTGGCCAAGACCTGCAAAAAGCTGGTGGATAAGTTGGAGCCATTGTTGAAGACCTGTGCCAAGGCAACGAAGTCAAAGATGGCCAAGGAATCCTTCAAGAGCCAGGTCAATGGAGCGAAGACGGTTCTCAAAGCTGCCAAGACGGTCCAGGGTCCAGGGTAAGTACAAGGCGAAGACTTGGAAGCCCTGGAGTTCTTGCATACTGAGGAGCAAACCAATGACTTGATGGCAAACTGTAATTGAAAAGGAATCTCAATTGCCTTGAGACAATGAACTCTTTGATGGAAGGAGGCATGGACAGAACCGACACATCGGTGAGAACCGACACATGTATTAACAGGCACTTGGAAATTATCCGCTGCGTTTTCCACTGCAAAGTCTTGATGTTTCAATTCGCAGCAGACGTTGAAGGCGGGGCTGAGTGGAAGTTACACTGTTTATAAGCCTATTTTTGGGGATTCTGCCCTGTAAGAGCGGGAAAGGTACACAAAATGATGGAGCCTCCAAGAAAGTATAATTAAAAAAACAAGTACTTCCACACAGATACGCAACGTCCCGCACGGGCATCGCCGGTTGGCGAAGCCTGTCAGTTCTATTTTGGGTGGCTCACGAGAGGTCTGCGCCGTTGGATTGTCATTTCCTCCTCCGAGTTTTACCCTCTGGTGGCTCGCAAAAGGTATGCACCGTTGGATTGGCACCTTCGTCTTCTAAATTATGCCCTCGGGTGGCTCACAAAAGCTGACATATTGTCATGCTGAGTGCTGGCATCGCACACTCGTCAAGAAGCTTTTCAGCCTTCCAACTTGCACGTGTACAAGCGAGGCGTTTTTCACCCGCGTGCACAAGCGAGTGCGCCAGTGAAAACAGCAGTAGTATATAACACACTCCATGGGACTGGAATATATGCCGATCAATTGACCCCCCTGCCACCACCCCAACTGACCGGCATATATGCCAGTCCCATGGAGCGTCTGTGTATGGAGTGCCATCGTGCAAGCGCGTCGGGTGTCGGATTTGATCGGATTCGGTGCCTCCACCGTACGGGGGATGAAATGAGTGTCTCATGAATCATGAATCATGACACCCCCTAGGGCTCCAAGTACCTTCTGAGAAGGTGGGACTGGGGTGGGTTTGGAGGGTCCAAACACCTTCTGAGGAGGTACTTTGGAGCCCTAGGGACCTGAAAACCACTCGACTGGAGTTTTTGAGAGGAAAACCATCTTCCAAAGTGAACACCGCCATCGTTCCAGGGTTCTATAGCCTTCCCCGGTGTACTTTCACCCTTGTCCACACTGTTGCCTTCCCAGCTGCTCCAAGAGTGCGGCAACTGCCTCTGGAGAGCCGCAACGACTGGCGTAGGTGAGAGCTGTCCAACCTGCAACGGTGCCGACGGGTTCCTCGCCGTCGTGGTCGACCGGGGGTTGGGGTGTTCACAGCCTGCCGCCCCACGCTTGGTCCAGTCTCCTGGTCAGTTCCTGAGCTCCGTTTAAGAGTATAGGTAGTGAAATAGCATCTTTTCTATGAGCAGCTCCAGTCTTTCATGAGGTCATTGGACTTGATCGTCGGACATGGTGCGAGCAGTCGGGCTTATCCCGTATTACTACTCCATCCTTCTTCACCTCACAGGTGGGATCACCGTGGCTCCCAAACACAACCTGAAAGCAAGCACCCCTGGCCTGATCAACATATATTTGTTCCAGTCCCACCTGTCGTGTCCACGGCCTTTTGGGAGGGATTCACTAGTCGGACTTCCCCACTACGTCCCTACCAGCCTACGTACTGCGTCCCTACCGTGGGCTGAGGATCACCCGGACCCGTCAAAGCAGGTGCCACCGTCAGTCTTGAACTTAAGGTAGTTGGATCTATGAAATCCCTGGATATCCCTGGCGAGTCAAGGACTATACAAAGAACGGTCTTTCTTTAGATCTGAAAGGGAAGGTCCGTAATACTGAAGACTGAGGGAAAGTATAGTCTTTGGACTTCCAGGGAAATACTAGTGCAGGGTTAGTGGGAATACCTTGCACATAATGTTGAATTCTAAACAGGGTGTGGGAATACTCGTGCGAATTGTATGCAATTTTATGATTCCCTCCGGATTCAAATACATATAGGATTCGACATCAGTCCTATTATGAGTCTTATCCAATTGAATGTCATATTCTATGAGACTGCTGGAAGGGACAAACATCTCATGAGTCTTCTCGTGCTGGCCTTACTGGATGTTACCGCATTGACAACACATCGGGGGGTTGGTGATGACAACACATCGGTTGTGCTTCTGAACTTCGACGGAACACATGAAGACATGCACTTCTGCTGTACCTGGACCCGACTTCAACGCTTCCGTCGTCCCTTAGCTCATCGGACGTCCAGAAGAACGGTATTTCGAATATGACCGTCCCCTGTTCCTCAGGTCGACGACCGGGTCGACTTCCCAACTCCAGGAGTCCTGAACTCACGTCCATTTCCCCGATTTCCAATGGTCGGGTCGTGTCTTCCTGCTTCCTGGACCCCAACTGTTCCGACAAAGGCACCATCCCGGTCCGCCAGGTTGGCATTCGCCTGTGCGGTTTCGCAGGGGCCGGCGCGATCGGCGAGCCCGGCAGAAAGGGTGCCAGCTTGCCAGGGTGCCGGTTCCGAACGGAGGAGGTCGGGGTGGCCCCTGTCACATCCCCCTTTGTGACTCTTTGGCAACATGTTTTGCACGGTTGTTGTTTTTTTTGTTCTTTTTTGAGGGGGGGGAAGTGTATATCAAAAGGCGATTCCGCAGGTGATCCAGGGACTTCCTTGGGTAGGATGAAGCGATCCTTTGCTTTGAGCCCCCGTTTTTCCTTCTGCCGCATCTGTCGAGCAAATGGTAATCATCCTCGGTCATTGCGGCCCAATGCTGAAAACCCAGACACTCGAGACTGCCGCCCCATGACGCCCCCGGTCACCACCTCAACTGATCGGCATATTATATTCCAGTCCCAGACGGGTCGCGTCTGGGATATAGGATCTATGCCCTGGGAGTCAAGTCGACTCTAAAAAGAATGGTCTGACTAGGGGACCTGAGTTCGGGAACTTCCTGAAACCTTCAGCCGGTCAAAATATAGTCGAACTGGACTTCTAGGGTATGTGCCAGCTTCTTCAGTCGACCAAACTTTGCAGTCCCATCCAGTGACCTACACTGAAAAAGGTCTGTTTTGAGACCGAACCCAGCAGGGGATTACTGTAAGTTTGGTCACAAACTGAAGAACCAGGTGACGCAAATATCAATGTACTTGTTTTGTCAGTAACTTGTAACTCGATCCTTTGAAAATCCCTTCGGTGGTTCTGTTCGAGTATGAAGTATGGTGTCCACCTGGACCCGACTTCAAGTATACTTTAGACAAGAGGACATGCCTCTATATAAAGAACTGCGGTCTTGTAGCCATTTTCCGAGGTACGACCTGAGACTGGACTCCAGGTATGTTCAGAAGCCGAAAGTCAGTTCTCCCCCCCGGTCAGCTTCGGACCCCCCCACGTCTCCCCATCGATCCGCGCATGGCTTCAGGGCGGGCCCTGGGCCTTGCAGCTCAAGAGGAGTCGCATGGCACCGGTGCATCCCCTCGAGGCCGCGAGCATCAGCGCCGTCACTCCTGACCGTTCGCTTAAACACGCGCGCGCTCCAATCGGCGCGCGCGAAGGACCGGACCGACGGGCGATGTCGAAGTCAGTGCTTCGGGTGTGCTGCGCTCCGACCTCCATGGGACTGGTATTCCCAGACACGAGTATATAATGGATTATAATGGGACTGGTATAGGACTGCCGAGAAACGGCCAGGGATGGTTGAAAAGGGGTCAATGTAATAGTATATGTAAATAATATGCCATACATGGAGTGTCTGGGATTGATGGCATTGATAATAGACATTTGACCTTAGACCTCTAACCACTCCTGGCCTGCTTGGCATGTGTTTCCAGTCCCAGGGAGTGTCTGGGTATGAAACCCTCAATGATCCTCGCACTCATGATGGTGCATGTTTGTTAGACCTTTGAGTTCTCTCGCGGAGGAGAGACAGAGTGTTCTGCAGAAACAAACAGGAAGAATTAACCAAGATAGGAGCTCCAAAGAATTCAAACACACGAGCTGTCGGGGACTGGAGTATCTGCCGTCGAACACTATAGACCTCAGAAGTGCCAATTAATCCATGCACCAGGGGTCACAAAGGGGTGGTGTTTAGTCCCATCCAGTGAGTGGATGTTCTGGGCACCCCTGACCTCCAAGTTCGGCACCCCTTTGTGACCGCTGGCATGTGAAAACTATAATTCACTCTTGGCACTCAGTCAACGAGCATCGAGCTCTCGAGCTGACTGGTGAGATCCTGACCACTCAGAGAGGTCAAATGGCTGTCACTAACAAGTCCAAAGACCTAATGTAAAACCTGGATTTTTACCTCCTTGAGTAATGTTTTTGCACAAACAACTGCAGCAAAATGATCGAGGTCCTTGACTTGTAGGGCACCCAGGACGCCAGGACCAACACAAACGCAGGAACCCGGAAAATCACCATCCCCTAGATGCGGTCAAACACATCACTCCAAATTACTGGAGTCAATCAAAAGAAAAACAACCAGCTTCTTCAAAGTGACTGACCTTTTTGGAGTCTCTAAGTGACCTTTTACAGGCCTAAGTGACCTCAAACCCAGGGATGAAAAGGTCACTTTGAAGAACCAGGAAGAAGGTTTGAAAGACCAGGTTTAGTTTAGCCAGAACTGCGCTGTAGGAATCACAGAAACCGCCACACCCACACCCGATCTGAAAACGTCCGTCACTCGGCCTCCAGCGCCGAAGGTGTTCACGTCCACCGCGCTCTTGGCCAAGATCTCCCGCAATGAACGGAGGTATTCCTAGCGATGACACGGATGGCCCCTCAGCACCCGACTAAGCCTAAGCCTCCAAAGGCGGTGGTGACCTGGGAGATTTGGGGTGCAGGCATGAAAGCCAACTTACAAAGTTTCAAGAGGCGATGAAGAATGGGTGGTGACCACCTCATATCTGCTGGTACGATGACAACAAGTTGTGCAGCAGCCAGCAACATCCAGCAACTGAGCACGAGCATGGACCTCCAAACCCCATCCAAACTAGCATGGACCTTGATGTGGCCGCTGCGTCGCACAGAACCACCTCTGTCTGTAAGAGTCCTTTCCTCTGACCTTGTCGCCACCGCGTCCTCGCCTGCTCCGCGGTGTACAGAAGCGCATGGGGACAGTCGTACTCCGAGGCCGATGGCAAGGGCGCCACGTCGATGCCCGTGACGCAGTCCTGCGGTCTCATGCCGGTCTCCACCGCTCGTCCGGGAAGTCGGGGGATGCACCGCTGGGAAGTCGATGTGTGTGGTTGGGGGGTACTGGGGAAATCAAGGATTGGGGCAGGACGTGCTGAGATGGGGCTGAGCTTCAAGGAACATGAGTTTCTGAACACGAACAAGCTTGGCTATGTCCTTGCTTGGACATTTAGCATATTTACCGATCAGTTGGGGTGGATGAGAACGGGTCCGGTCAATGTATAATTAAATATACAAATCAGTCCCATGTGGAGTGTCTGGGTCTTGTTGGCACTTTTGGGTCTTGAGTTGATGAAGGAGTTTGTCCTCTTGTGCGGAAGATCCAGCGGCCAGTCGAGTCAACGACTGCATCACGTCTGTTCTACGGATTTGATTCAGGAACCGGCACACCTTCTAATTCCCCATGCCAGGGGATCGAAACCCCAGGAACCGGGAAGAATTTGATATCACCCTTTCTCCGCAAGACCACGGAAGACCATATTTGGGGGTTGGTTGGTTGCAATTGGTTGGTTGGTTGGTTGGTGGGTGGGTGGGTTGGTCGGCTGGTTGGTTGGTCCAGTACTGTAGTTCTCACACCAGACGGTTCTTGCAGGTGATCCACTCACATGGGTATAGGGTACCTGGACCCTCCATACTGGCGCGCGCTTGTGGCCCGAATTCGGAGGTGTCCTCAATCCCCCCCGAATTTTTGGTGTTTTGGCAGGTGATGATCAATTCACCTTCTTCCTGGACTCGACTTCAAGTACCTTAGAACATATAGGACTTGTGACATGACCCAGCCCCGGCCTATCCAAAACAGGATCTGCGGCCTCTTGTTCCGAGGTATGACTGGGTCGACTCCAAGTGTCTAGCACATCGCGGCCATTGGGTCTCTCCAACCCTCGACGATATGCCCGGGAACACCGGCTGATGACATTGGAACCTCTAATGGGCGATTCTTGGTCTGAAGCCAACATGTTATACACACCATGCCAGATGCCATTTGGCCAATTGATGGGCAGTCTGGCTGTTGCTTCCCATTGATTCCTCTTAAAGCCCATCGTTTTTCGTCTCTTTTTGGTTCCTTCTTTGGTCTTCCAGTCACCGGGCCGCTCCTCCAAACCTTGGTCCGACCACGCGCTTTCCCCCCCAACGCGCCCCGCCAACGCGCCAACGGTCTCATTCGTCTCCGTCTCCGCTCTCCTTCACGCCGCTCGTGTGCGGCTCATCCAGCGGCTTCACACGCAAGCCATCGATGTAGAAGCCCATGGGCGCTTCGAAGGGACCAAACAATTCGCCCTGTGACGGGCACATCGGGAGGCACATCGCGGCACGAGGGGCGGCGGCCCGGGTCACAGGCCTCACGACAGGTGATATACCTGGAACTTCGTTACGGCAATAATAATTGCCGTTTTCCTGAAACGTCGCCTTTTTCCGTTCTGCGGCGTTCTTCCATATTGATCTCATGGGGACGGCGTTTCTTGATGAACTGCGGCAGCTTCGGTCAGTTGACGGCAATTTTGGTCCACACATCCATGCGCCTCAAAGAGTCATTTCGTTTTAGTTTTAGTGCAGGCGAGTATGAAAACATTGTAGGGTCTTGCTTGAAAGGCAACTGAACGTAAAAGGCGTCTTATTATATCAGCAAACTCGCATAGTCATGTGAAGTGGAAAGGGCAGCTGATGGAAGTGTCACATGCTGGGTTTTCGTCGGTTTTCGCGGATAACTTGACCTCTTGCGCGGCGTTGCAGAAGATTTTGCGTTTAAAGTTACGGCGTTCTTACCCGTACTTGCGGCGTTTTTCCCCGTACTTACGGCGTTTTCCCCCTACTTACGGCGTCGTTCCCTTACCCTGTCTAGGGTCACTCAAGGTGGCAGCAAGACTTGTCACAACATGTCACAAGCGATCCTTTCAGCCATTGCATGATCAAAATGTGAACAAATCCTGCCGTGATGTCAATCAAGACCTTAGACAAGGGCTGCAACATCTTGAGAAGTGCTACCATGAGGCTTGACAACGATGAGCTCTACTAAAAGGAGAAGGCAATTTCAGGGTATGGACGGACCAAAACAATATCCTCTTTGGTAGATCAAGCAAAACGGCGATTCTTCTTTTGTGACGGCGTTTTCACTTCTCTGACGGCGTTTTCGCTTTCCAGGGATTGAGCTACGGCAGAAAAAATGAGTTACGGCAAAAATTATTGCCTCAACAGCCTACGGCAAAAATTATTGCCTCGGGAGGGTCTAGGTATCTGAGGGATCAGGCCTGAAGAATCCCTAGGGCATCATCAAAAGAAATGCATGACAACTCCAAACAAATCCCCCGGGGGCCAACCTTGGGCTGACCATGAAAGCCTGGGGGAAAGCGCAAAAGTGGCGCAACTATATACACGGGCACCCCTGCCCAACACTGTACAAGGGAGACAGACAGAAGGGGCACCGATGCGGAGAAAATCTAGCAGGAGAAGGGGCCACCCAAGTCCCTCAACCTGGGCGGCATTGGCAAAAACCTAAAGCCCCAGCCGTCCAAGCAACCACGGCTTGCCCCAGTTGTTGGAAGCAGGGACTTGCAAAAAGGGTTCAGAGGCCCATGAGGGGAACGCACCCGGAAAAGAGCGGCATCACCCACGCCCCTATGCAGAAAAAGCCAGGCGAGGGTAAACCAAGGGCACGATCCCCGAACTGGCAGATGGAGCGAAGAAAGCATGGCCCGCCACTCTCAGGAGTCGAAGTGCTGCACAGCATCCATTCCAGTTGCCAGGGCCAGCCCCGTCCGGCGGCGAAGCACAGCTCGAGCCCGATGCGTACGTGCAATCACGCACATTTCTTGCAAGAGGCGGCTGTGAAGTTGCGAAACATCCTGGCCTGTTCGAAGAGCCACAGCTCCCGAGATCCTGCGGAGGAGGGAAGCGGCCTCCGCCTCCCATGCGCCAGTTGTTTCCAAGACCAGCGGTCGGAGGTTGCTGCCGCAGTGGCCACTGAGCCAGCTTCGCTGAGGCTTTCCGACCGCAGAGGCGCCGTAACGGCGAGGTCAAGGGCGGTGGGAAAGCCAGCAAAGGCTGGGAGGAAAATGTCTGCAGGCCGTTTGGCGGCCACAGTCTCGTCTGGTCGGTGGGGTAAGAGAAGCCCAGGCTTCTCTTTTTCAGGCTTCAGCCCAGCCAGGTCAGCCCATATATGAACAAGTGATCACGCAAAGGGCATTGTGCCGCTGGACGCGCTCACCCCCAGCCACACAGCTGGCAGAGTGGTAGGAGAACTTGTCCAAGACCGCATCACATTGGGGGCACCATCCATCGCGGGCAGCCTCGGTCATGCCCAGGCGTTGGCTCAGTTCGGTGATGAAGAGGGCTGGCTCCATTCGCGTTCGTCCACTTGGCGCCGCGGCTAGGAACGCGCGAGCTCCCGCCTCAGCTTCAGATCGCAGGATGGCTTGGGCGGCCAAGGTGGAAGACGCTAGTTGTCGTGTCCAGGACGCCCGGTCCAGCTGCTGGGTTAAAGCTTTTTGTTTCATCCCGAGAGCTGTCGCCAAAGTGAGATTCTCGGATGTGCCGAGCTGGCTGTTGTAGATGGCCAAGGCCGAAGCGGCGTGGCTGTCTGCCACCAGTGTGTATAGGTCCCATCCAGTTCTACGCACGCTGTCGAGCTGCCTCCAAGTGAAGCCAGGTAGGCCGCGGCGCTGTCTTCAGCTGCGCTCCGGAGGCCCAAGCCACCAAAGCCTGGACTGCGGGAGGCTTGCTCCCATTGTTGAGGTTCAGGGTGTAAACCAGTGAAGGCTTGGAAGCAGCTGCGAACCTGTACGTCGAAGTGGCGGAGGGCTTCTTGCTGTGGACCTGGCGGGGCACAGCGAAGGCTGTGGAGCAGCTTGGAATGCCCCGCAGCTGTTCGCAAGAGGCGGAGGCCAACTTGAGGGTCATGGATGTCAGCAACCGCATCCAAGAGTTGGCTGGCCCCCGTCACCCGTGAGGCTGTGTGCTGGGCGCAGAAGGCGTCGTCGCCGACTGGTGCCCCAAGGAGTTCGAAGTGCTTGGCAACCCGAGTGCACCCACTGTGATCTTGCAAAAGCTCTGGGGGGAAGTATCGTTGAAGGACTGTAGCTGGTGCGCCAGCCATCGCAATCACCTCTGATTTGCGGAGGTTCAAAGTAAGCCCGAGGGCGGCAGCCCGTTGCTGCAGGTGGAGCAAGGCTGCTGACACCGCCGCCACGTCGCCTGCGAGGACCCCATCGTCCAAGTAGAACATCCCAATGTCGAGGCCACGCCGAAGGTCCTGAGCGAGGCTTTGTATGGCTGCCGCGAAGAGGAGAGGTCCGAGCGGGTCGCCCTGCTGCACGCCTCCAGCTGAAGCCAAGGTGCCACCGCCAAAGCGCAGCCCACTGGGTTGGCCGTAGCACCACCAGGCCCACCGAGAGAGGGTGGGGAAATCGGTCTCCACTGCATCCAGCACAGCCTTGCGGCTGATCGTGTTGAAGGCGTTGTGAAAGTCCAGCTTCACCAGCACCTTCTGTTGACAGTTGTTGCTGCGGTTGGCCCAGGCTCGGACCGTATGGACCGCCGCGTCAACCCCAGCAGGGACACAGACTCCAGTTTGCACGGGCCAGAAGTGCCGCCGGGCGTCAGGCCGTATTTCTTCCAGAAGGCATTTAGCCGTAAGCCGCCTATAGATTTCTCCGATGGCGATCGGTCGGACGCCACCATTCGGCTTAGGTACGGCGACCACCGGCCACTACGGGAGCGACTGCGGCGCAAGCTTGCCCTCGAGCAAGCAGAGTTGTCACCTGTGCTATAACGTGTGGTGAAAGCTGTCCAGATGCCCAGGCAGAGCTGCATCGAGCAGGTGCTGGGCTCTCAGGCCCGTGGGTCCTGGCGAGGTGCCAGAGTGAAAGCTCCGCAACGCGCGGGCCACCACTTCAGGGCCTATTTCCGCACAGGCGGGAGGTGCTGCAGGTCAGGTTGGTGCGGCACAGGTTGCGCCGGGTGGAGGGCTTTGAGGGAGTCAAGAGTGGCAGCCGTTTCTGCACACAGGCCTTCCGACAACAGGGCCGCACATGCCTTGCCGTCCCAGCCTTCTCGTGCAAAGGCGACCGCCATCTCTCGTCGTTGCTGGGGAGTACGTCGCCCTCGTCGTGGTGGCGGTGGGGTGTGGCGACTGCTCCAAAGAGCCATCCTCTCTCCTTTGTGCCATCGCTGCAGCCTGTCCAGCGTGTAAGCAGCCAGCGCCTTCTTGTGCTTCTTGCCTCCCGGGGCAGAGCGTCCAGCACAGTTTGCGGCAGCATCAGGAGTTCCTGCCAAGCTGCTTCTGTGTTGTTGTGTTGGACTGCGGACAGGGCTGGGGTGAGGGCTTTCCCCCAAGAGTGCCGGGCAGCTGCCGGGACTCGACGCAGCGTAGGAGTGGCCCCGCCTTGGATGGCCATGAAGGGAGACGGCCGTTCGCCCCATGCGCTTCTGCTCGCCCAGCTGCTGATGCCCGTGCCTCCGGCCGGCATGTCGGGTGGATGCCGTACCGTGTCGAAACACTGAGCCCACATACCCTGCAGCGCTGTCGTTGCTGTTGCTGCATCCAGGTGGTGGGGACGTGTCCGGCCAGAGTGTGAGCCAAGTGGGCGTCAATGTGGCTTTGCATGGAGAAAACGGACCGCCAGCCACGTGCCCGCAAGGGGTCGGAGCATGGGCAGCCAGGGACGGGCGCTCCCCCCAAACCGGCGTGCTGCCGCTTCCCCCACTCGGATTCCACGGAGTGGCCACCCTTTCCACCGGGGGTTCCTGGTGATGAGACGCCCCCGCCGGCGGCGCCAAACAACTGCGGCCGGGCGCCAAACTCCCAGCTGGATGCATGGCTGGGTGCATGGTTTGCCCCAAAGTTGGTGAAGTTCCTTAGTCAAGGCCGCCCGTTGTCGTCGATTGCACCCTGCCGGCGGCCGGTCGGTTGAACGCGGCTGGGAGGGGCTCAAGGCGGGTGGCTCCCAGCTCAGATGGCCCAGGCAGCCAGTGGCCAGGAAGGCCACAGGGACCAAGGCCCATACACTGCGGAGGCGCAGAGCCATGCCCCTACCCGCCCAGGGGCACCACATCACCCCGCCAGGAGAGTACAGCGGTCAGACTGACAGTCCCCCCCTGTCCGGGCGCGTGGTGCCGCTGGGGAGGGTGAGTCGGGTGAGACTTGGAGAACTGGCAAGGATCAAATGGTGAGACTGACCCCACTGGCCTTGAGTGCCTCAGCAAGAACAGGTGCGCACGGCCACGCAGGTCATCTAACAACTACAATAGTCCCGCTGCCGCGTCTGGTGGCCTAACCAGCTAACGGTTGCAGGGCAAACGCTACAATGATGGGCCCCTCAAGTTAAAGGACTTATAACTATGTTACCAAACATATAAGTGAGTTATAAACAAGTTATCGCAGTTACTATAAAATAGTTACAAGTGAGTTATAAGTAAGTTATAACTTCCGTAACTTAAAAGCTGTTTTTCAATCATATGATTTTTTGAATAAGCATTTTTTGTATGCAAAAATGGTTTTTGTTGATTTTTTATTCATTTGAGTGCTGTTTTTTGGCGGTCGACCGCCTGTACTGGTGTTGTTGGGTGGGCGACCACCGGTGTTGGTGTTCTTGGGCGGGCGACCGCCAGGGTATGTTTTCATTGTGTTCTTCTAGTCTTTGTCTCTCTCTCTCTCTCTCTCTCCTTTCTTTTCTCTCCCCTCTCGTGCTCTTTCCTGATCCTCCTACGCTCCAGACCCTGAAAACACACATAAACAGTATACCGCCCAACAAAACACGCATGCAAGCAGAACTCTGTTTTTACAGCAAGCAAACAACATTGTTTCCGTCGACGCTCCACCAGACTGGCTGGTGCAACTGCAACAAGTCTTTTATGCATCTTGATGCCTTGTGATGTGTGCGGACAAATGAACGAGCAAACGGGCAACCACTTGACGTCTCACGAAGCTCTTCCAATATGACAGACACACCATCCGGTTCTTCAACAAAGAAGTGCACTAAAGCGAAGTGGTCACCAAAACAAATGATGTCATCGGACTGCAAGCGAAGGCTTTGCAACTGATACGCTGAACTGATACGGCAATGTTGCAAGCCCGTCGCCGTCTCAACAGCGTTTGCATCATGTATGCTGCCAGCCAACTGATTCACCCACGGGTGTTCGGCCATCGCCCAACCCTGGCGATGCAGGAGCCTTGTCAAGATCTGTTGGCTTGATGTCCCGGAGCGGGAACAGAAGACGCCAGCCATGTCATCTGCCAGAGAGTGCTTGTACGCCTTGTGCCTCGCCTCACATGGCCACAAGTCACAATAGCCAAGCCGAGCATATTGCTGTGGCAAATGAAGACGATAATGATGTTTAGGCCGTTCCTGACCTGCGTAGTGGCGCATGAACAATTGCTGATGCCTTCTCTGGCAAGCATCAAGCTTGGCAACATCTCCATGTCCTCTGCGCCATTGTTTGAGTTCAAGGACGGTTTCATACAGGGCATTGAGAGATTCCAACTCAGGCACTTCGGCCACAGTGGTCAACCTGTTGGCATAGTGCACGAGCAATGGCAGGGCAAACCAAGTTTGCGAGGCTGAACCCTTGTAATTTTGTGCCCCTTGCCAAAATGTCTCGTTGAAAAGCCAGCTGCGAGCACTGGGAGCTCGAAACGATTTGTCCCTGCAAACCCAAGGAACCTCCCGAACACTGCTCCTCAAGTCTTCTAAGCTCACACCAGAGCATCTCGAGAACCTTTCTTGGAAAGCCAGCATCTCTGAAGAGCAAATTCCGTTGGCGAAATTTTGGTGCATTGAGTCAAACATAATCCGGTCCACAGAGATCAACGCCCGTGCAATGGGGCATGTCAACATAGCATTTGCATGCAAAGCATACCCTAAGCATGTCTCCAATTCTTTGCGCTGAGCAACATTGCAGGAAGTCGCATCATGCAAACTGCGTTCGTACGTTTCATGTAGTTCCTCTGGCCTGTGAAGGTCAAATTTGCTGGGGTCATTCAATGCAATAGTTTGGAAATAGGGGTCCTCTGACACAATGGGCGATCCATGGAGTCTTGACACAATGTTCTTGCACAGGAGACATGGCTTCAGAGCAGAAGCAGTTTTGGCATTGACCAATCCATTCAAAGCATCATAGTCTGCGAGAAAAGCGTGGATGCGCAATCGCAGGCGAAGGCCACAAACATCGACCCCTTCAGGCAGATTCTGGGAGGCCAAATGCCTCAACACTGCAGCGCCCACTTGGCTGGTTGCCCCATCCACCAAGGACACATCGCGTGTCGGTATACACGCCAAGGGGAACCACGCATCAGGGCGGTGACAGTCACCTACTTCCAGCAAAGCAAAATACCACAAATGCATTTTCTTGCTGCTTGAGGTGCTCAATACATTGCCACCTGTGGCCTCGTCCTCGACAAGCACAATAGATAGCAATTGATTTTGCACTGTAGCCAAGCGCTGACGGTAAAATTCAGCAGAGCCAGCAATGTAGGTGAGGACTTTGCCTATGTCGGCACACCAAAAGCGCACACATTCTCCACCATCTTTGGCTGGAACCTTGAGCTCTACGTAGGAAGACTGAGCTGGCCGAAGGATTTCCTTGGCTTGCCTTTTCCATGCACCACTTTGAGCAGCTTGAGCATCACCATTGTTCAGCAAACGCTGAATCCTCCAAGCACAATTGGAATTCTGCAGGGCCAAGAGCTGAGAGACCTTTGGCCTCTTGGCAGCTCTCTCCATCCACGCAACTCCAAAACATTGTCGAAAAATGTTCAAGCTGTCACATCTAGAGTCTAGACTACACGATGACTAGTGTTTGAGGCTTGCTTTGGGTTGGGTTCTGTTGTACTGCATTTGCTTGAATGAAAACATGAAAACTTGAATGGACACATCTTTGCGGGTGACCGTGCCTATATATATATGTATAGATTAATATATCCCTGTGCGGGCGACCGCACGTATATACACGTTGATATATATATATATAGACTCATATATCCCTCATATATTCCTTTGGGGGCGCCACCACAAAAAATGTAACCGACCAAGAACTGCTGATGCGAATTCTTTCTCAATGACACAGCCAAACCACAATTGTTTATCAACTTTTACCAGCGCACGCCACGCATTGTATCTATAAGTCTTTACAAGTGGCCAATGACCTCACCCAGCAATTCATGGATGGGCCAAATGAAGTCCAGGAACAGTCGGTGATTCAGAGCTGCAAAATACACTCTCACAGTGCCCAAATAGCCCATGCTTTGGTTGAGCTCCTTTTTTTTGATGGGCCCCAAGCCACGATGCGGAACAAGGGAGCTTGCAATCTGTTGCTGTAGACTGTCTCCCGGTGAATCGTAGAACTTGGCATGGCCTACATACGGCTTGTCGTCAATCTGGATGCCATGTTCGAAGCAGCAGCGCAAAGTCACCATGCATAGCGCCACCTCACTCACAAGTTTTGCTTTCTGAAAATCATGGCAGACAACATCAGCGAGCCAAACGCATAGCTCCTTGAGGTTCTCCAGCTCATAACTTGCCACCCAAGCGAGCTGCTTTGCATCATGGTTGTAGAGCTGGGAGAACCCATCTGCAAGCCCTTGGATGACAGCAGAGTCCACCGTGGTTTCAATCATTGCTGCGACAGGTAACATGTCGGAGAGTTTAACCACTGAACCTGTGAGGCTTGACAAAGTGCTACCAACAGCCAAACCTGTTGACAACCGACGCAAAAGATTCATGAGGTACATTGTTGGCGGGCAACCGCCGAGCAAGCAACAGCTTGAACAAATTCAAGATTGCTATCTTGCTATGCACAAGTATAAATAACACATAGATTCAAATAGTTATATATACTCATATAGGTATTAAAGCCAGCGAACAAAGCACAAATAGATTGAAGGTTGCGCCCCTTTTCCCCCTGTGCCTCATGGATGCCTGGTTCGAATTTGAAACATCGCAGGCCTATCGAATTTCAGAGATCTGGGTCATGCCAGACCATCGAAGTAAAAGCCATTCCCCTGGCTGGCAAAGTTAATTGCCATCATCCCCATTGGCCTTCTTGTGCTTAGCTGCTTTCTTGTCCCACGTGACTGCCTTGATGACATCATTGATGCTCTTGATCTGAGTGTTGAGGTCCTTGTCATCCTCAACCTGATCGAACTCATTAGTTGACACTGACTTTCCAGCACCCACAGCCTTCATCACGGCAAGGCTCTGAGTGACGACCTCTTCCACAAATTCGATCTTCTTCTCGAGGTTTTCCAAGGTCATGGGTTGGATCTCTTCGATTTTCAAGCCCTTCTTGATGTTCTGAAGTCGGTCTTTCAGGGGCTGCATCGATGTCAAAGCCTTGCTGGCCAAGTTCGTGATTTTCTTCGATAGCTTTTTTGCCTCTTTGGCCATTTTCTTGGCCTCCCTGTTTTGGCGGGCTGCCAATTGTTTCGGGGTGAGCCCCTTGGGGAGCACCTCCTCAACAGAGTCATCTGCACTCTCCAGGTCAACCAAGTCCACGAGGTCTTGGTCCACCACAGGGGCCGGATCGGCCTCCTCAGCCGGCTCACCTTTGCTTTTCTTGGCAGAGTTCTTCGCCTTTGCCTTTGGAATCTTCTTCCGCTTGACTGTCTTGTCGACTTGGCGAATAGCCTCCTCCACCTTCTGCGCAATATGTTCGTGGCTCACGTGGAATATGTCGACCCTATAGGTTTTGCCCAGCACTGGATGATCCATTTGCTCGGCCTTGTTCTTGATCATGTCCACATCGTATCCCTGCTTCTCCCAATAGCTCAATGGATGGAACTGGCCATTGAAACCATGCCGGGTCTCGTCAAGTTGCCTCGAAATGAGGAGGTTCTTGATCTCGGTTCGAAGCGCTTGGAAACGGAGTGGGCCATCCGTCTTGTGCGCCAACATCTTCTTGTAGAACTCAATGGTGTCTTCATTCGACAGGTTCTCCCATCCATCTGGCATCCCATCGAAGTTCCTTTGAAGCATCATCGTTACACTGTGGCATGACTTGCACAATGGCCGCTTCTGCGCATTCAAAGACAAATGCTTCACCACCATTTGATCTGGCAGCACTGGAGACCTACATTTGAAGCAAAGGGGATAACACGAAGCATCATCAGCCTCCAAGGCTGCTGGCACTGTCTCCTGCTCCTCCAATGTCTTCACAATCATTGAAGCCCCAGGTTCAGCCATGGAGAGCAAACGTGGCAAGAGTCTAACTCTCACACCAAGCAGCTTTGATCGATCTCACAGCAGGTTCAACAAATTGCTGTGCACATATCCCTTTCCCCCTGGCGGACGAACGATATGCTGATACATACGGATACATCCGGATACCATCCGGATACATCCGGATACATCATAGCTCATGTATCCGGATGGTATCCGGATGTATCCCTATGTATCCCTGTGTATCCGGATACCCGGGGATACATAGGGATACATCCGGATACCATCCGGATACATCCTTGTTTATGTATCCGGATGGTATCCGGATGTATCCGTTTGTATGTCCAAATATCTTGGTGTGTGCGTCTTGAGTTTAATATTTTTCAATATATATATATATTTATAGAGAGAGAGTCAGGAATCAGTGATTTGGTATGGTTTGGGAATTGTCTGCAATTGTTTTTTTGGGATACTTCGAATTACTATACATAGTTCTACACATATATACATATCACTTTGCGGGCGACCGCACACACACATATCGAGACACTTGGATTTATAACTATAGATATAAATATACATATATATATATCCATTTGCGGGCGACCGCACACACTTATATTATTGAGCGGGTTAGATGTATAACTATATATGTATATCCCTTTGCGGGCGACCGCACTTGAACATATTATTGGTAGGGTTAGATTCGTTTACCCATATATATATATGTTCACGCTTGCGCATTACTATAAGCAAGAGTAGTTTGGGCTAGAGCGGCCAGCAGTAGGCAGAGCTGCTTTTATTTCCAAACTTCGCCTGGGCTTCACTTCTTTACACGGGCAGCTGGCTTCTTCTTGGCTGCACTTTTGGCTGACTGCTTGTCAGCTTTTGGCTTTCCAGAAGCTTTTTTTACAGATGGGGTCTTTGGCTTTTTGCCTGGCTGCTTGCCCCGGCGCCCAGCACTGCTTTTCATGTTGATCTCCCCATCCCCTACTTCACTAGGAGCGCGTGGATCAGGTCGCCAAGGCATCAAGAGATTCGCTTCGACCTTCCAAGACTTCTCGTCCACAAAGGTTGACTCCACACAAAACTTCAGGAACGCGTTCTGGTGCTCTGGACAGGCAATGTCGTGCAAATGAGCGCATGCTTTCAGGGCGTCAAACATGTACTCCTCGAAGTCAAACTTTGTGGAGCCAAGCACTTCGCCCAGAAGGTTGACACCTCAATGCGGTTCTCACCCAAGCGCTTCAAATTGAGAACACGTGAGGGCATCTCATTGTGGCGGCCACTGACACCGTGTGGAAACGAAACAATCACCGCAGACCTGGTCCTCCCACCCTGGTAGTTGACAAAGATCCTGTGGCTCTCATATTCGTTGACCACCAGGTCAAACTTGCTATAGGTACCGCCTAGCGCACTGACAGCCAGATAGATCCTTGGGTTGACATATGTTCAGGGTGTCTTTTGAAGACAGACCACCAGGGAACCTGCTTCACTATATATGTATATCACATTGCGGGCGACCGCACACACAAAACTTGTTTAAGGATATGTTCCAAGCCTCCTCGTGCCTCCCAGGCGAACCTTCAACATTTGCACTTGAGGCAAAGCACCAGCAAAATCTATAATGTTCTCATCATTGTAGTCATCCTCGGGGAAGCGGCTCCAATCCTGCTCAGCCACAAAGCCATAGCGATACATCTCTTCAAAGAAATGTGGACAATCCACAGACTTACTAATTTGTCACTTGAGGCGGAGGATACGCGCAACGTTGCCAACAAGAGACTGCAAAAAGAAAGATGTCCAACCAACCAACCAACGTGATGAACCTCCTCAAAACAGATTGCAAACGGGAGACCGCCGATGCGCAAATTGTATTAAGGCAACAACCAAACCATGATGAATCACCCCAACCAGATTGCGGGCGGGCGACCGCCGGTACGCACATTGTATCTATGTATATCTATATCATTTACATAATATTCATCGACGTGTTTTTTGATCGTATTGTACAACACAACCTACCCTATAGTCCAAAGGTGGAGAAGAACCAGTTGGCTGTCGCAGAAATTGACATATGTATTGTATAACGCACCTAGACCCGATATAAACCCAAAGGTAGAGAAGAACCAGCTGGCCGTCGAGCAGCAAAAGAACCAGCCGGCCGTCGAGCAGCAATGAACAAACATCACAACAAAATGCAGAATGCCTCAAACCCACGCACTTTTTCTCAGCCGATGCGGGGCCCTCCACGCCAGGGTTGGCATGCTGCGCTTCTTTTGCGCTTGGGCATGCCACACAGTTGTTCCACAAAGCGCCGCGACACGCCCCATTGCTGTGCCAACAGGTTCATCTCAGCCCTGAGTTTCTTTAAGTCGGCTGTGCTGTTGGGCACGATGCTTTCATCATTCCCTGTGAGATCAGTCCCTGTAGGATCAGCCCCTGCAGGATCAGTCCCCGTGGGGTCATCGCTCTCGGTCTGCTCGGTAGACTTAGCGGTCGTGTTGTCGTTGCAAACCTCTTCCTTTGGCTGTGGCTTGGCCCTTTTTTTGGGCTGCAACGCTTGAAGCGCTGGGGCAGGAGCGGGTGAAGAAAGCCTCCACGGTGGCACCGTCGCCGTTGTCTCCGACTCTGAAACCTTGTCGGTATCGGCTGTAGCTGTAGCCTCAGAACCGGCAAAGGAACGCCCATCGCCAGAGGCAGCCTCGTTGACACGCTCCTTTTCAGTTTCATGGCCTGCTGCGTGCACCTCAGACCTGTCCTCATTCTTGACGCGGCGAAAGCGTTTTCTCACCATGCTCCATGGCGGTCGTGCCGGTGGTGATGGAGACTCTTCAGTTGGTGATGGAGACTCTTCAGTAGCCGACTCTGAAGACACCAATGACGTTGGCGACACTTCCTCCACAGCAGCCTCGAATGGTGCAGGAAGTTGTTTTGCTAAGAGCGTCTGAGGTCTGGCTTACAATGTCCGACAATCTTGCTAAAGGGGGGTTATGCACATAAAGAAAAGAACATCGTCTATAGAACATCAAATTTCACCCATCAAGGCGCTCGCACGCCAGCTTTGTGCAACACCTGTATGTACTCCGCCGGCTCCATGGCTTTACGTGTAGGCCGGCAAAAAAGAATGAGGCTTGAACATCTAGATGAATTGCAAAATACAAACAGTTCCTTGTGTAAGACACACCCAGTCCTGAGTGGGGGACCGCGGAGAGACCAGAGCGGGCGACCGCTAACCACAGCGAACCAAACCAGAGCGGGCTATACTCTTACTTTTTTGCTTCCAAGCATGGTCTCACGCTTGTCATGTTCCTGCAGGGCTCCATTGTCCCCTCTACACAATCAGTGCCACTAAGGAACACACACCCAGTCAATGAATCCTATCAAAACCCCCTTGCCTTCCAGCAAGACAGGGTGCACAGCGGCCGCTGGCGGCACTTGCTGCATCCATTTGCAAACCTTTTCTTCGTCTTAAGATCTAGTTTCGACAAGATCTGATCCCTCAAGCGGCATTTGTCCTGCGGTGAAATGGTCTTGACTTTCTTCTTGGCAACGGCCTTGCTCACAGTCTTCTTTTGGTTTTTCAGTGAAGCTGAACCGACTTTGCTCCCCATCTTGGCCTTAGTATTCTGCAAGCGATGTGACTTCGGGTCACGACTGGGTGGCTTCTGGTCCACCGGCACTTGTGGCCCGTCTGGGACTTTGGCGGCTGGCCTCTTCATCACAGGCAGATCCATATCTGCGGCTGAAGAGCCCTTTGCTTTGGCCCTGGCTTGCTGCAGCTTCGCCATGCTATCCGACAAGGAGACGGTGTTCGGCCCACCTTGAGGGAGATCATTCACCTTCTCTGGCACTGTTGCTGCCGCCAGCTTCACCTCCTGGCTGTCCTCCTCGACAGCCGGCTTCGGCTGCACGTCCAAGAGAGGTGCGGGAGGTAGAGCAAGAAGTGGAGACCTTTCACTCTCTGCCGTGTTAGACAACGCACATGCCTCAAAGATTTGCTGCTTCTCGACATTGCCTGGGTTCACCGTCATTGCCTGGGCTGGGGCTGGCAAAGCAAGCTGGGCCTGGGGCTCGGCCCTGTGAAGTAAATTCTCAAGCGCTCTTGCTGGCTTGTTCTGCACAAAGCTCAAGTTGCACTCTCTCTGAGGTTGGGTCAGATGCTGCGCCATTGCCAGCAGGCTTTGGAAGGAATGCCAAAAGGCCTGACCATCTGGGCATGCCATACTTGAAGTCGAGGACTGGCCTTTGGGAGACCGCAGCTTAATCTCCCGGGCGATGTTCGAGATGTCGAAGAGGGAAAAAGGCGGCTGCTCAGGCTTGGAGCCTTGAAACGCAACTTCCTGCAATGCCTTTGGTGCGTCCTCGGGGTTCGGTGGAAGCTTCACAACATACTCGCCCCCGGGCAATGGGACCTGGCCAGCTTTGGCCTTGGCCATGCGCACACGCACTTCTGATTTCACGTTCAGGAAGAGGGATCTCAGTTTGTGAGGCTCCAAAGAAGAGCTGCTTCCTGGCTTCACACCTTGCTGCCCGTCACATAGAATGCATGTACCTGCCAACATCGCTTGAGTTGGTTCAGAGGGCGCCCGTAGTCCTAGCATCACCAGTTTGGAAAGCATGATCTCAAGACTAGCCGTGGCGGACGGTGATTCTTCAATACTTTTCCATGTGGCCACATCGAAGTACATGGGGAAGCTGCACCAGTCTTGCATGGCAAGGCGCTGCTTCGCGTCCATGACCTATGTATGTATGAAGGGCCTCTTTACGCGTATAGTGCAGGACGTCTGTGAAACAAAACTGCGTCACGCTTAGCCCATTACACGGACGAACACACTCGTTACAGACATACATGTTTCACACTCTGCGTGTGCATGGAATGAAGAAAACTTCGAAGAACAACAACACAACCATACAATGAATTGTTGCAACCCTACAACATTGCGGGCGACCGCACACGTTGCAGACATATGTTTCACGTGGCATGTGCATGGAAGAAAACTTCGAAGAAGAACAACACTGCCATACAATACATTGTTGCAACCCTACATGCAACATCAAACAACAATCAAAGTTGCAGCCACCAAAGGACACTGCAGATGCCAAAAACACGGACAGCTTAATTCTTGTTGAGTTCTGCTTAAAACTTGGCAAAAGTGCTGTTTGCTGCAAAAAACAAAGGAGCTCAAAAAAACATCAATAAAAACATAAGTTCCATAACTTATTTTTAAGTTCTGGGCAGTTCAAAGCTAAGTGACTTATAACTAACTTATAAATTCGCAACTTAGTTATAACTTTTTGATGAGGTGCCCAGAAGTTACAAAACTTAACTCTCTTATAAGCTAAGTTATACTATGTTATAACCTATGTTACGCTAGATATAACTTAGCTAACTTGAGGGGCCCATCATTGTAGGCCCGAGGACTTGTGGGGCCAATTGAAACATGCTGCCCACCTGGCCCACAATCGTCATGCCATAGACGAAGGGGTAACAGGCTCCGTAGCCATCTCGGGGAGTAAACTGGTACGGCTCGTGGTTGATTCCACAGTCTCCCTCGCCCGGTCGTGCGGATGGAACACTTCCGGATCTCCCCGCTCCCTAGGCCCGCCTCGGATGTGCGCGCTGCCTAGAGGAGCTTTCGTCGACTTATCTGACCAAGAACCCTCGACTCATCAGAAGGTGGGTGGATTGCCCGACTCAATGGGCACGGACCCCGAGGGGCTGGAGTCCTACCAAAGTTTCCCGCGCTGGCGCACGCCGGTGGCAAGCCGGACCTGGCGGGTGTCCTTATAATGCGACCTGTAGTCTATAGTACCATTGACATACAGGCCGCGCCGCTTGTGAGATTATCAGACAGGTGGCAGGCGGCCGGCGTAACCGGTCACCGCTGCCCTAACCTCAGCCTCGCGGTCCTCCCCACTGAGCAAGCCCATTCGAATGCCATAGTAATGCTGGGCTGCACAGTCATACTCAGAGGGTGCTCGACACTGGCAGTTGCATAGGCAAACTGTTGCCTGGCATGCAAATCGTTGCCAGAGGTGACATACTCGAGGACGTCTGCTATTGTGGCATTGTCGGCATCAATGCCATCGTCGCTCATCCGGAGGGCGAGGCACGCAACTTTGTAGTTGCGTTCAATGGTGCAAAACCTCGCTGCGCCCTTATATGCTGCAAACTGGGCTAACATCGCATAAAAGTTGAACTGTAGTAAATCGCATTTACAGTTGTCAGCGATGGCTAACCACTTCGTTGCAGCAACATCCCAAAGTTGATCTGGCGCGAAATTACAAAAGGAGACGCATGCTGCTTGAAAAGTCTTGCGAACTTTCGGGAAGGATGCGATGACATCTCCATGGGCGCCGCGCACAAAAATCCGTGATATAAACTCGACTCGATCACTGCAGTAGTAGCGGCTGTGGTGCATGACGCCTTGCCTATCTTGGGGTTCCAGTTGTGTCCCACATGTTGCAGAGGCGAATACCATAAGGCTGCCTAATATACTACGCGCTAATTCCTTGTCACTATAGAGATAGGAAGCAGCAAGCTCCCAGTACTCTTTTGTCACAGCGTCGAGATGATCATCGCCCTCAACCATAAGGCAGTCCCACTTCATGTTCTTCTTTTTAACGAGGACCTTCCTGAAATCCTCAATGTACCACCACGCATGTTGTTCGACAGCAGTCTTCCAATGCTTCAGGGTTTCAGTCAGCTGTCTAGCGATGATGGATATGAGAGGTTCTCATCACGGAGCTTGTCCCAATCAAGATGATCAAGCCGGATGTGTAGCTCAAACATCAGACACGCGGCAATGATATGACACAGCTGATTCACGAGCCACGTCAAAAAGTAATTGCCTATTGAAGTAAGGCCATCGCCAGAAAAGCGGCCAACTTCATCTAACAGCAGGCGGAAATGCTCAAATTGGACTTCCCATTGTTTCTTATCTACACTTGATTTCTCAGAGTGTGTAGTATATTTCCCAATGAGCTTGAACACAGCATCGAACAAGATCCTCTCAACCGTTCCACGAAGCCCCTTGTTGCCAGGCTTGTGTCCACGGTCAGTTATGGAGCTGTCGAAAGCTCCATAATCGTTTGAAGCGAGGAGACCGCCTGCGTATTTACCATCTTTCTCATTTATGGCGAAGTCAACGCGTTGCTCCACGCCCTCCATAGAGGTTTTCTTGATACTGCGTTCCAACATGTCTTGTGAACCATACACAAGCGATGTGACAATCGTGTTTACCACGGCCTCGTGAGCTGAACCTTCTTGTCCAGCATGACAGCAAGGGGGAATGCCTGTAAGAGGAAACCCCAAAAAAGGAGTCACCAGGGCTAGTTTTATGCATGGTAGCTTGCAAAACAAGTGATATAAAGTGTCAGGTCTACAGGAAGAAGGCATATCTGCCATCAATCAACACGTGACAAATCCGTGACAAAGCTCTTTCTGTTCAGTTCGTGACCGAACTTGAGGATCCCATCCAGTGGCCTACACAGGAGTCCACTTGGAAGGACGCAGGTCCAATCACCAGGACCTGACGAAGCGTTCCGACCTCAGAAGCCTGGGGAGCACAGGATCTGGATCTGGTCGTACCGGGCTCCGAGAGGTTCGTACCGGGCCACCGTTTTTGGGTCGACTCCCTCAAAATCCTCAAAACCATAGGGATTTGAGGGTCCGAACCCCTTCGGTTACGGCCCCTATACTTAGGAGGGTTCATGAGCGTCTGGGTGGAAAGGTCTGTGCCAGGGGCTTTATGGGGTGCTTCGGAAATCGGACTCACACCGACTCACGACTGACCTGCCCATCACTCCCCCCCCCGGCCTGGCCCTGCAAGGTGGTCATCCGACCCGTGTTGAAGCTGAGTTTTAAGCCCTCCTCAACACACTCCACTTTACCTCAGTCCAGCTTCAGTGTCCGCAGTGTAGCCTTTCACTGGCCATCGAGTCACTGACATGATCGGACTCCCATACACTCCATGGGACTGGAATAGGACTGCCGCCCCACACAGACCCCACCACCACCCCTGGCCGTTTCTCGCCAGTCCGGACTGCCAGTCCCAGACAGGTCGTGTCTGGGGGACTGGTCACCTGGTTCTTCAGTTCATGACCGGTCCCTTAAACCGGTCACGGTCACGTTCGAGCCGAACGTTCAGCTAAACCGGTCACGGGACGCCGCTTCATCACGAACCGAAGGTCGGTCCTGGTGTCCATTCAGGTGAAAACCCTAAATCATCCAATGAAGATGGACTTGGGCTTTTGCAAAAAAAAAATGATGTCTGGGAGTGCTAGAAAACCAGAAACCGTAAGAACACCGAAAGCATCTGGGCCTTGTGGGACAGTACAGTGGGGGAATTTGTTTTGCTTTGGTGGCCTGATAACCAAAAATCCTGTACCCAACATGTTGGTTCCTCTGGCAGTCTTACTAGATCTGCATGGACAAAAATACTCAATAGGATCTGATCCATCATCAAAAAGAAACAACAGCTTAAAACTACCTAAAATCTTCTTCCCTTCTGCCGTTCCTCCTTCCACATCACCTCCTCGCTTTCACTCCCCCCGCGCTCGTGAACGTTGGATGCTTATACCTTCTGCTTCCGCCTGGCAGAACCGAATCGCGCGAAGGACCTGCGCACTGCGCTGCGCGGTTACTGCGCTGTTCGTCGTTTCGTCGTGTTGGCGCCCCGGAACTGATGAACTCCTCCGGGTCCAAGGCAGTCAAGGCCAAGGCTTCCGTGCGGAAGGCCGTGGTCTCAAAGCGCATCTGGCCGCTCTTCAGCCGGAAGTACCTCGCAACTTGAAAACCCAGGAACCGGGAATATAAATATCACCCCAAAATCAAGACCATATTTGGGGTTGGTTGGTTAGTTGGTTGGTGGTCCAAATCTCTAGTTCTCACCCCATTAAGTTAGAGGGTTTTGCAGGTGATGCACTGACCGGGTATGGTATGTACCTACACCAGAACTCCGCCATACCAAGCCTTGCTCAACAGGGGCTGATCCGAAGCGAAAGCGGAGGGCCCACCTGATTTCATCGATCGAATCCTGAAAAACCATGGTTTTATGGGTCGTTCCCATGTTTAAAACTTGGAGGGTTTTCTTATAACTTATACGATTGCATTTGACACCAGACAGGCGGGTCCAAGCATGGTCAAAAGATAGATCCCAGACGCTCCAAACAGGCCTTGGTCCTTCAAAACCCTAGGGATGGGTTCGGGTCCAAACCCATCCATATGAGGCTCTGGTCTTTACTTCGAATGGTCCAGGGTCGCGTTTGGGATGTTCCGCGCGGCCCGCCATTGGAGTGGCCGAGGCACACTCCGTCATGCCGAACTTGGATCTCATCCACGTTCAAGTCTGCTTTCTCCTCCCCGTGGGCTGGGCATATACATTGGGTATATCCCAAGCACCCAATCATGGCCCAGTGGTTGATGATGGTTAGGTTGCCGGCCTTTCTCAATAATATGTTAATTTGTTTTTTTTTCTGTTACTGGTAGTGGGCGGCTACAAAAACACCCTTGCGACGCAACCCTCCACCAGGTGCTTTGAGAACAGAAGCTGTGGGCGGCTACTGTGTGTGTTTTCACCCCAAATGCGGTGTTTGTTTCACCGATGATATCTTATGATAATTTCTCGACACTTAACAGCTGTTGGGAATCCGGGCCCGCAGCAATGGAACAGGTGTGATTCGGGTCCGGACCCCTGTTGTGTTGGGTCCAAGGATTACTGTAAACTAAAACATGTTATGATGATGACTAAAGCCCTCGCGGTCCAAAACAATTCATTGCAATTTTTGACATGGTTTCATCTTATGAAACCTCAGGGCCTGACCTTCTGCACAATCCCAACCATCCCCACCTTCGACCTGAGGATTTGACCTCCTCAATCCCGAAAGGACATGAAGACACTGGCATTGGACATCTCATGGCAGGAGCAGGACACAGCCGGCAGGTCTTTTTGCCAAGGTGATCCAACGCGGAAGTGACAAATTGAACGACCCCAGCATGAGTGGGAAGGAGATGCATGCTAGTGAGATTCAGTGACGATGTGTGCAACTCATCGATTGTAAACCTAAGCGCAACTAGAACGCAAACCAATCCAAAGCCAATCCCGAATCCCAATCAGGATCCCTTTTCACAAAACACCGACTTGCTCTCTCCCGCGCCTTGGCGGTGCCGGCCTCGCGCATGAGCTGCGCCACATAGGCGGCGAAGGTGCTTGAGGAGAAATCCTCAACGCCGCCCAACAGAGGTTGTAAGCACTATATAGGCAGCTATAACATCTAGACTATTTGATAGGTAGCCCACCCAGCCTCCCGGTTTTCCAGGTTATATACGCAAAGCCTGAAAACCTGTCTTGCCGCGGCCACGCAGTCTGCCGTGCGCTGTCCGCACGCTTCCGCACGCGACCACAGAGGGACGTGAGAGGGAAGCCGGTCAGGCCTCCTCGGCTGCCTTCATCACAAGCCACACCCAGCAATCGTGAGGCCTTCACGTCGGCCAGAAGCTGCTTGAACAGAAACACTCCACTATAGTCACAGTGACCTCTGAAAATCCGCCCCAATGGCGCAAGCCAATGTGCTCATCTTGCCATATTGCAATATTGCACACAACTGAGTCCCATCCGAGCGGGTTGATAGGCGAGCAGGAGCAAGTTCTCTTCCACTGTGCTTCTTGGCTCAGTCTGCTCGACTGGAGCTGTACTGCTTTTGTTGGAAGATGAAGATGCGGCGCGCAAGAACGCCAAAGCACGCTGGTGATCTCCAGTGGGCGTCTTAATGTGCTCCTGCAGAGTGTCCAGGATGTGGATGATGCGATCGCAGATCTGCAGCCGCCCCAGGCTCTGGCGTCCACATAGTGGATTGCCAGCAGCAAATTCCACGCAAACAGAGCATCCCACTAAATCCTGCCCGTTCTCCATTTTCCATCTTCATTTTCAAGAAGCACTCCTCACCAGGTCGAGAGAACTTTGCCTCAGGAAGCCAGGACATAGCCCGCACAAGAGCCTTTGTAAGAACTTCCGTTGCGTCCGCCCAAAGCGACAATGGAGGCAGATCAACACCGGCCGCGGCAGTGTACACACCGAAGACTTCTTCAAAGGACTTGCCAAATCTGCACAGATCCCAAAGACTAATCCGTAACCGCGTAATCTTCCATCCGTGCAATATTAGGGGATGAAATAGGATCAAGGCAGCTAGCTAGCTGGCGGAGTTGGTCGGATGTGCCATAATTTGGAGCATCATCCAACAGGTGGAGTCTGCACAGAAAGAAGAACGCGCGGAAATTCCTGTCCGGTTGTGTGGAGTATGTTCCCCTTCACATTGGTGCTCGAAGGTGCACAAAGGATCTCAGCTCTATACCAGCTCTATCGGTTTTTGGGAGGTACTTTGGGAGGTGTTAGTGGTATCCACAGGATGTGTGGTCATGGTGGTGTGAAACTGGTTGGGGATCAATTGAGAGAGTTATTTTGTTCATTTGTTGGTAGAAGTACAGTGCGTCCCTGCAAGAAGGTCGTTAAGTTGTTGCTGGAACAGGTGGACTGGTACCAGGAGGGCTTGTTGCTCTGTGGGTCCTCAAATACCCTAAACTGTACTAGACGGATCTCCGGACAAAGACACGACGGTCACTGGTGCGAACTGCAAACCTGGTGACAGGTGTTTGACCCGTCAATAATCTGAACAAGCGCAAACGTACATCTATCATATACCTACATTTTCCAACTGTGACATGTCTGAATTTTGATCAAAACCTGCCAAGTTCGGAACACATGTTAAAAGTCTGGTCCTCGTAATTCGGTTTCCTTGTGAGGAAGCTGGCTGTTTTTTTTTAAGCGATGTTTAGTGGTTGCCTGGTTGCCCTTGTTTGTTTGACATATAGATTTTGATCGTAACTTTGAATTATCATGGTGGCTCACTCTCCTTTGCAGTTGCTCATGTGTATTTTAGAGGCCTTAACCCATATCTCTTTCCATGGCATGTTGTCATTGTATTTCAGAACCATACGTTACGAGACATTTTTTTTTGTCCACTGCGCCTGTCGTAGTCCTGTGGCACACTCCTTTCCCACCAGCAAAGGCGAAGCACTTGCCATAGCAATGATTGACGTTAGAACTGCATCAAATTGTACTTGTACTATGTACATTAGTCATAATCATTAAGACAAATTCTCTTTGGTAATTATTTTCATATTAGAAAGTAAGTTCATAATACTTCTGACATATTTATATTTTGTTTGCAGTCAGGGTGCCAGTCTTGACTCGAGATCTCAAAGGTCGAATTAAACCGCAGCTGTTCCGCAGTGGAGCTGCAAAGAAAGCAAACAACCACTTTATGTCAAGCTGTCAGGGGGGACTTAGCTTTGACTTAGGCTGTGACTTATATAGCTAAGTCATACCTAAGTACTTGTAAGTACTATAGGCGTAGCCAAGTGAAGGCTAAGTTGAAGCTAAACCTTATAGAGGTTAGCAAACTTATAACCAAGGTTATAAGCAGGTTAGGGGTACTTACAACCTAGATCAACCTAGGTTATAAGTCAAAGCTAGCCAACCACCGGGCAAGTCGACCGCACCGAAGCAATCATTTTAAAGGGTTGGGACCGCACCGCACCGAGCAACCAGGCAACCACTGTTTTCATCACCGGTCATTATATGTGTTTTTGGTTCGATCCCGGTAGAGGGTAGACTTGCGGGGTAGACGGCACGGCACTGGTCTATTTCAAGGAAAGTAGAACATGGGAGGTTTTCCTATCTTTTGTTTACACACCCCACATGCTATTACATGCTCGCTCCATGATCCAATGATCTCCAAAATCCGTTTCAAGTTTGGCTCGTTGGCTCCGGGCAGGGCGTCGCCTTGGCTCCAAGAGTCTAAGGGATTCTCTTTCATGAGCCACGCACAGAACCTGGGTGCCGGCGATCGCTGGCAGTGGATTGAGAGGACCAATGGCACAGACCCCAATGTCGGTGGTTTTGGACCCCCATCTGTTCAGGACATCTTTGGGTCTGTGCCATCGAACCTCCGAAACCACTGTATTTTGACGGAGGGAATGATGCATGGAGAACATAGAGAGCATAGAGATATCCGAGATGTATGCAATGCAGGCGCAAGCTGGGCATGGGGAAATCATATGTGTGAAATCAACGGTGTTTTTTTCAGCATTGAGGCTCTATAGTGTCAGAAGTTTGTCTCATATTGTTTCTATGTCTTAAACTTAAACAAAAAACAACATGACGATCAATTCTCCATCTCCAGTTTGCACCTTGAGCTTTGGATCCCTTTCTCTTTCCGGCTTTTCGGCCACCAGTCCATGCTGCTCCGCTGTGCTGCCCAAGCAACTCCTCATACTCGACCACTCCGTTGGCGTTAGTATCAATGACCCGTAGCAGGTCATTGATGTCACCTTTGAAGCGGCGTACCAACAGAGGTTGAAGAACCCGCTATATATATTCCATATATTCCATCTATACCCCAGGTGATGGGTCCTAGTTCAGGTCACTTGACCTCTCTTGGTACGACAGGGCGGACCCCAAACGATCTGAGGCCCCATACGATCTGCGGTACGAACAGGTCGACTCCGCAAATGATGGCCATGTATGGGCCCCGTGGGTGGGTTTCAAGAGTCGAAGTGGGGTTCAACTGGGGGTCAATGTACCAGGAGTCAAGTGGTGCCCATTCTCCACGAAAAAAACAACTCCTACTATTAGTGACTCCTAGTAGGGGCCTTTTCTTTCTTTCTCTGAAGCCGAAGGCGTCGCCTGTGACTAACTTGCACCTAATTATACCTGCTCAAACAGCATCCGGCCTGAAATCAGGCCCCATCGGGGCCTGTTCGTCAAAGCCGGCTGTAAGGTTCGAAATTGCCTTCGAGAACCAGCTAGGAAGCTCTTCCTGGACATCTGCAGCCGTATTGGCTTCATGGAAAAGTTGCGCCAACACTTTGCAGAAATCCGCTGGATATTGTTTCAACGCACTTGTCAGCCAAGTGCCGTCATCAGCTTTGCCGATGCGGCCTGTCTTGGGAATCGGCGTAGTGCGCCCGGCAACAAATAGGCCATCGGGGTCGTCGACTCCGTGCACAATGAGCAAATCTGTCGGTTTCATTGACAGACCGCCGTATCGCCCCTGATCAACCCTCACACGTCTGCAGGAATTGAAACGGAGAAAGTAGTGCATTATGGCAAGTCGCCAGATCGAAGGCAAATGGTCTTCTTCAGGCTGCGCAGGGTGTTCAAGCACCCCAGTCGCCCCACACAGCAGTGCTGTCCAGATAAGCAAAACTGCTACCGCCAGTAGTCGATTGCCCAGCTCGACCTGAAGGCTCTCTCGCTTCGTCAAGTGTAGAACCCCTTGTGGTCGGGTGCAGGACCGCACCATGCGTGGACCGCCCTCACATTGAACCGCTCTGGCGCGGCTCCATGTCTCGCATGGAGGCCCCGCCATGAAGCCCAAGAGCGCACCAACACGTAGAGCATGCCTGAAGGTATCCAATGTATCCTGTCGGAGAAGATTCCCCCAGGTAACATCATAGATAATGTCTATGGACACCGACGAGAAACCATACTTCTCAAGATAGTGCTGAAGGTCTCCTTGCCGGCGCTCGCCCGAAAAGAGATGAGCAACTACTCGAGGATGGTACCTCACTGACCTCGCTGGTGTCCATATGATGTCTTGGAAATGCCAAGCCTCTCTTTCAAAAAAGGCGACCGCAGCCTCCCCAATCTGTTGCGTCCTTGTGGTGCCTGTAAGGAACCACTCCGCCGATGCTTGGCACTCAAATAAATGGAAAACTCGGAGCCCACTAAGTGCTAAATCTTCATGTGAGGCGCACCAGTCTTCGCACCAAGTTCGAAAAGTGGTCATAATCTCTTCATGGAACAAAGTCGTCTGTAGGGTCGCCTGTCGAAGGGCTTCAAGCCACGTCTGGACAGCTGTTTGGTGCACGGAAGCTTGGTCCCACTTCTCCATAAGCAGCACCTGCTCTGGGTGCTCATCATCAATGAGAGCTGCTGGGGATGGGCAACGAGGCCCTTCCGCATAGAAAAAGGGATCACGGAGCAAGGATCGTTGTTGGTTATCTGCACGACTGTTTACTCCAGGCTGCCGAGGTACAAGGACTCCTCTATTGGCATAGAAGTGCAAACAGCTCTGCGTCCTCTTCACATGGTTGACTAAATCAGGATAGGTGGCATAATGTTTTAGGCACCTTTCACACTGCGTCCCTTGCACAAACTTTCGTGCTGGATTGATTCGGTCGTGCTTTTTAAAAGCATGAACGGCCAAGTCAGCCCGTCTCTGAAAAATCCGTTGGCATCGTAGGCAGTAAAAGGGCTGTTGGGGGATTGGTGCAAAGGCTTTGTAGCCAAATCCTGCTTCGACCACCTCTTGCATGATTATCCCATGCCACTCCTGCCAGTGCTCATCAAGCTTCCTAGAGGCAACGTGTCTATGAACTGCCCGTTTGATGTGGCCTTTCCAGACTTTCGGATGTGCAAGAAGGAAATCAGCAAGGGATGCCCAGTCCGCTAGATCTCTCTCGTCTGTCTGTAGCTCCGGACAATGGCCACACAACCATTGGATGTCAGCCAGAACAGTGGGCCACCATTCTCGGTCTTCTTGAAGAACCGCCCACAGGTGTGGTTGTCCAGTCCTACAGGTTTGTTCGAGATATCGAAGTCGAGCCTGTCGCACTGTAATCTCTGGGTCAGGAAGTTCCAGCTGATTGAGCAACTTGGTAATAGGCCACTTTTGCGCGTCAATTCCGAAATGCAGGACTCCTAGCCGCTTGTAGAGCCTGACAAAGGAGGCATGGAGCTGCTGCCTTTGTCTTTTGTTTCGCGGCGTCCAGAGAGCCGCATTGTGCACAATGGTACTCACCACCATCATCTGAAATAGTTGGAGTTTCTTCTTCAAAGCCAGCTTCTTGTTGGCAAAAACCTGATTTCGGTACTGCGTCATCAGGTTGTGGGCTGCCGCAAACTTCGTACTCAGGTCACGTGCAATGCCAGAGCCAACTTGTATCCACGATCCAAGGTGCTTGTACGCTCCTACCACTCGAACGGCATAATCCGTGAATCGGGATGGAATCCGGAGCATGTGATCGAGATGTACAAGGTTACGCCGTGCTTGCATGGATGCTGGCCCTCTCAGGTCGATCAGCACCTCAGTCTTACCTGTCTTGAAGTTCGGTTTCAATCCAGCTGCCACAAAACCATCGAAAACAATTGATGCAATACGGACAGTTCTTTCGAGCAGAACTTCTGCTTCTGGATGCGAAAACGCCAGTGCCAGATCATCAGCCCAAACAGGTGTCACAATGTCTAAACGTTGTGTCGGTCCTGTCCCCCGAACTGGAGATCTATTGCCATCCCATAAAGGCCCAATGGCAGGGTATTCTGCACGAATCTGGCGATTGATGCCCTCCATCATTTTTTGCAGAGCAAACGAGAAGCATAGGTCTGCAAAACTGTCACCAGGTCTGCTCCCTCTCCTTGTTTGCACCACCACATCATCTGTTTTCAGTCGGAACCAGGTCGTGGCATAAAATTCTCTGAAAAGTACTTTCAAGAATTCAGGTGCATCGGAGCTTTCCATCGCAGCTGGCTGTTGCATCAACTGTGAGAACTCTTCAAACACTTCTCTTGGTAATCGCAGTGCATCGAAAATCTGAGCTGGGGTCCGTTGATCATCAGGAACATCTAAAATGTGCTGTCGAATGAGCCGATAGAAGGCATTCGCCACATCAATGAAGATGATAGCTACGGAGTGGTTTCTCCTGATGGCTGTCCTATGGTAGCTTTGCAACGTATGCGCAGCTTGGCCCACACTAAAACCTTTCAAACCCCCGATTTGGAGCGGTAACCTTTGCTTTTCAAAGATCGCAGCTAACTCAGCACGGTAAATGGCATGGACTGCCTTACCTACCACACTGCTGACGAAGAGCGATCGATAGCTCTCTGGCTGACCAGGATCACCTTTTTTGAAAGCAGGTGTTAAAAAACCGCCCTTGTGAATGATCGGCTCACGAACATGCACAATTTCCTTGCAGATCAGGGGATAAAAGATTTCAGCCATGCGTCTCGGCGCAATTGCCAGAAGCTCACCCGGTATATTGTCTGCGAAAAAAGCTTTGTTCTTCGCAGTGCGTCGAAACTGCTGCTCGAGTTGGAAGAGCGTTGGCATTTGATCCCAGTGTGGGCAAGGCCGCTGCGTGCGATCCGTCGCATCAGCAGAGGCAAAAATCTGCGAAAACGTAGTTTCGCAGCCATCTTCTTGCTCAAGGAAATATTCTCGCCATCTCCGCATGACTGTCTCCAGTGTGTCCAACGGCTTGTCATCCAGCCCCCCGAAGGATCGGTAGCGGCTGTATCGCCGAAGGCTTCTTAGAGTTCCGAACACCTAAGGCACGCAGAGCTCCAAGAAAGTCTTTTTCTCGCATTGCATAGGACCGTTCGGCAAGTGCTTCAAAAGATCGTGTTCGGTCTTCACGAAGACTTTGCTGCAAAGCTTTGCCTGTAGCAGCAACCTGCCTCCGAACCTTGAGTGCACGCGAAAAGAACCTAATGGCACAAACAAGAAGAGCTTGCTGGTCAAAGGCGGCTTTATCATTCCAGACCTCCCACGCCTTTTCCAAACTCAAGCGTTCAAGCTGCTTACGGTACGAGGAAAAATCATATCGAAGTTTCAACCTCTCCCTTCGGATCTTCCAACTTGCATCAGAGATATATCCCTTTCGGGGTTTCGAATGAGCAAGTGGAAAATTTTCTTGCAGACGCAGAACAATTTGCTCAGACAGTGACGTTGCATGCTCATCTACCCCACTCGTCCAGGCAGGAAGTTCAATCCCTTCCATCACTTGCTCAATCTCTTGGGTACTTGCATCTTGCAGTGCCCGTCGGTCAAAGATGTCCTTTTTCTTTGCTGTTCTATTACTCAGTAGGGTCAAAGTCACTTGCAAGGCCACCGGAATATGGTCGATTCCAGCTCCTCCAGCATCGAGGCTGGGGAGACAGTAGGATCGTATAGAACCAGGCCGCCATGCCTTGGGAATCGCCAGATAGTCACATCTGGCCCCACTATTGTTGCAGCTGTGGTGCCAAGTCACGTGGGCCCCGTCGTGAAACTCATCAAAAGTGCTGGGGAGAAAAAGATCAAACCTTTGTAAAAACCGCAAGAATGCACGTGCTCCCGAATTGGTCGTCCCCTCAAGTCCAGCTTCTCCAACCGTCTCATGGTATGGTTCATGGAAATGCGCATTGGCATCAAACCCACACACAACCGGGACATCTGGTTGCCAGAACTGTGCCAACTTATCGGAGACTTGTGACCAGTAGGAAATAATCTCATCATGTGGCCTGCCGCTGTGTGGGCCATGCCCATTAACAATCAACAATTGCTGGCCTC